TTCCTGGAATAAACCAGAAGGGCAGACACAGGCCAAGGATGTGTCACGAGAGTTTGTCTCACTGGCCGATCTGAGACAGGGTTTCAAGTCTGTCACCCTTACCAATGCCCGTCCCCTTCCTGCACTGAGTTGGGTGGGAGCGTTGTCCCAAGGAACAGTACCAGGAGTTCTCCATGGTACTGAAGGGACATGAAGCAGAACTTGGGTATCCTGACTCCTCACTCGAGCCACTAGGTCACCCTACCTCCTGGAGCAAGTTCACTTCTGCCTCTCGCACAGCTCCTCGGGCAGTCGAATCACAGATCATCTGTGAGCAACAGTATTAGAAGGGCATTGCTGGATCTGAGCTGGTGGAAGGGACATTTCTGACAGCAAAAGCCATCACGGGAGTAGAGGCACCTTGGGTGACTGGTGCTATCACACCACTGGCCTCAAGGCCCAACTCTACCCAGAACCTTGCACACGCTTCTTCCTACCAGCTGGCCTGAAGCCAGACAAGGCCCCCTGGGAAGACAGTGCTGGCTGCTGCTTGCTTTACCTCCTGGCTGTGTTCTTGATCAATTGTGATAGAAAAGCCAATTGGGAAGAGACATGCGCTAACCAGCAGATCAGCTGAGGGGAGAGGTTTTAATTGATCAATATGGAAGCTGCTGCCAGTTTGCCACTCTGGCTCCCAATACCTGCCCATGCATAACATGAATTAACGAGTAATCCTGCCCTTGCCGGCTGGGGCTAATCTATTATTGGAGGTGACGCCAAGGGAAAAACCAGGAAATCGAACGGTGAGAGGCTGTGGTGTCAGCTCTAGCTTGTGCTGAACAGTTAATTGTAGTGAACAGCTCCACGACTCCTGCCTCAGGCTGGCAGCCTCTCTCCTGCATCACACAAAATACTTTGCCTGGAAGTGGCTTTGGCCCTGCTGACTCAGCTCTTCCAGGCTCTGCCATAATGGGAGGGGGAGCTGAACAGCATGGAGTCAGACCCAGAGGGGGATGGGGCTTGCAATGGAAGGTGGCAGCAAGATGGCTTTTTAAGGCTGCATAACAGGCCTGAAGACAAAAGCCCTTGGCTGCTCAGATAGGAGTAACAGCAGCAAGGGACATGCCTAGGCTTCAGACAGAGCCTGGAAAGTTTGAGGGGCATTTATGACTCGGCTGCCTCTGATAGAGTTTGGCCTCAATGATCCAGGTCCTTTCCAGTCTTATGTTCCCACAGCGGAGCATGGGACCACTCTGTATGGCTACAGTCACTGTATTCCTGGCACGGCATGCACTGTCCCGGACAGCATATTGCTCAAAAGGTGCAGACAGGTTTGACAGACAGAAATGAATGATGAAGAGCTGGAACTGCTTCCAAGAGCCAGACTCCAGGGGACTGTGCTGGGGCGCAGGACTTAAGAGCTGAGCAAGGGGAAGATCCCAGAAGGCAGGAGCAGTAGGACAAAGTTACGAAGAAACTCTGCAGAGACCTATTTGGCTGAGGAACAGGTGATGGGAGCCCCTAACTGAACATCAACTTGGGCAAAGCAATGCATGATCAAGGTACAATCCTGCATTGATCCAGGGGAGTACAACTGAAACCCAGTGGACGGAGTGCTTTCCAATGGAGAGCCACCACAAATGGATTCCACATGGATGGAACATGACCCCTCAGTATTTGAGAGGAAAGCTGAACCACACCAGGAGGCATATTAATGAGCTGCCGGGGGGTGAGAACTCTATTGTAGTAATGCAAGTGAATGAGGAATTGTGGCAGGCCACTGAGATGGTCCTGGTAGGCTGTGTGCCATGCACCCCAGCCCCAGACAATTTGCAGTCACCTCCAATAAATAACTACAGAAATCACACTCCCATCACCAGGGCTGTATGGCCCTTCCTCAGGGTCAGTCATTAGGGCAGTGCTAAAGGTGCCTTAGCGAAGTGCCTGCACAAGTGTATGTCTGTGTCTGCATAAGGGCAGAGGTTCCCAGCTGCAGCTGCCTCTGTGGGTGGCATGCCCAGGTCAGGGGCCCTCAGCAACCCTACTTATCTAGTGCTCAACCATCTCAGCTTCTCCTTGTCTGGCTGGCAAGCAGGTAGGCTACTCCTTCCTTAAGGCCCCTACATAGATGGGCCTGGTGCTCACCAGAGGGGTAGGGGACACTATCTGAAACCAACAATTGGAACTTAACCCCCAGCCCCACCTCCCCTGGGTGTCCACTCTGGGGTGAGGCAAACACTGAGTCAGGCTGGGCCATGGAGCATGTTCCTTTCAGCAGCACCTGATGCTGTAGGGAGGGCAGCAGGCCTTAGGGCTAGGTTTGCACAACAGCAAGAGCAGGCTGACCTGCACCAGCTTAGGCACCAGGATCAGCCAAGCTGTGTTAGCATGAACTCAGCACAGGCTGGAAGAGCTCAACCTGGACCACTGGCAGCCCATGTTGAAATGGCTGCACTGCTACTGTCACCTGAGCTGGTTAACAGTTAGAGTGGGCAGGCATGCTCCAACTGTGGTCAGACTCCTTAAACCAGTAATTCTTAACCAGGGTGTCAGAGCACCCTAGGGTGCTGGGAGATCCTTTTCAGGGTTCTGTAGGATGCCACACAGTATTAGCCCTGTTATGTGTGCAAATACCTACATGATTCAGAAGATAAACCCAAAGATTTCAAGTGAGAATCCAGTGTCACTAACATTTTGCCCTGCTCCAGGCTTTCCAAGTTCTTTGCAACAGAACTGATATTTTTTCCGTACTCAAGAAATGAATGAAAGCAAAGAGTTGAGATTTTTTCAAGGAGGCCCCGAACCTAATGAGGTCGAGAACCACTGCCCTGATGGGACGTCTGTACTATGATAAAGACCATCTCCAGGCAGACAGCTCTTTGAGCATGCACTGCATTCACCTCAGACTTCTGGTGCATATAGCTGAAGTCCATTCACTGCAACACCTGATAAAGGCAACATCTGGTTATAAGCAACTTCTTCCCTACCATGCATTCAGCCAACTTCCTATGGCAGCAACATGTATTTAACAGGGATCAACACCTAGCTAGTAGGCATCAACAAAACACTGAAGACAAAAAGGAAGAACTACCTGCAAAGAGCAAGGCCTCCTTCCACTGAACCCTGCCATTGCCCTGGCGAGGCCTCAGTGTAACATGCGTGAACATCTTTGTTTTAACACACTGAACAGATGCGGGATCAGAGTCAAACCCCTTTGCACTCTCCTTGTTGCGAGAGTCCAAGTGCCAGCCCAGCCCCTGCTAACCTCAGAATCACGGGGCTTGGCGCTCAGGATAGCTGGTGGGCAGCAACAGAGCAAACATTTCTATGAGTCAAGTGCTAGCTGCTCTGGTGCCTGCCAGGAAGAGATGCTGCAGGAAAACAGCCAAGGCTCCACCCAACAATCATATGGTGATGAAGTGGGTAAACTTCATGCTCCTTACAGAGGAGAGCATGGAGCATTATAGAGCAACAGGCTGAGCAAGCTGGGCATCAGACCAAGTCCACACTCCTTGGGCAAGTTCATCTCTACAGTCACATAACAAGAATGGCTGGATCTGCTCCAAACCCTAAGCAGAGAGGATTATCCAGAGACTAAAGCACATTTTACTACTTGTGATCTGAAGATTTGAACCCAAGGCTTAAGAGGCAACAGGCTGATGCATTAGGAACTGCTCTGTTCATGGACCCAACTCCATGAGAGGATGGCTCTTCAGGAAGAGGACACCCTCCTCTAACAAGTTCTGGGAGGAAGATCTGGCTTGCAGTGAAAGAGCTTTGGTTATTTGAGCCCCACAAGCCTGTCACTGCAAAACAGAAGGTCAGCTCCAAGTGTCCAGAACAGCCAACACCAGAGCCACATATGGAAATGCAATGCAGGTGGCCTTGCATCCCGGGCTGCACTCACAAGAGATCACATTGATCTGCACAGGTAACATGTGCAGCCTCCCAGAAAACCCTGGACTACTTCTGTACTTGTGAGGCATTTGCCCAATACACCCAGCTCAGCCTCTGAGGTGACACTGAGCAATAGCAAAGACTTCAGAGCCTTTCCTACCAGACACCAGTAATGCCTTGAGAAAAGGAGACCAGGCCATTACTGTTCAAATGGAATCTGCTCGGGCACCCACAGGACAAGTTCCTTCCTTCTGTAGAGGCTCAGATTAAAGGAGTTGCACCAGGGGCATGTAGGAGGCACATTTTGTGCACTGAGCTTCATGCCACTGCTTTGCGCAGCCCTGTACATTGCGAACTGAATCCTCTGAGGGCCTGAGCACTCCCATCTCCCAACAAGTTGAAATGGAGACAGCTCAATCCCTCAAAGGAGAAGGTGCTGGGAAATGGGTGCTCAACTCCAGACAGGCTTAGATGGAGTGAGCCAAAGCACAATGAAGTCAGGAGGGAAGGGCTGGGAACTTCACGGGGTGAGTACAGCCCTGTCAGTGCAGTGCTCCATCCAGGCCATTTACTCTAGTAAAGTACTAGCTCTCAGATCTCTGCACTGCACCCTGGACATTCCTTAAAAAAAAAAAAGCAGGAGTGGAAAACCAATGCACATTCTAAAAGATCTGAGCTGCACCCGGCTGAGTCTGCAATTGAGAGCACAGGGCAGGGATCATATTGAAATGCATTAGTACTTGGACAGGGTCTCTTTAAAGCTCAGGAACTGAAAGGGTGCCAGCTCAAGACTTCCAGCAATAAGAGCAAGAAAAATTGATATATCAAGGCTTTGCTAATGCTAAGTGACTGAAGGGCTCTGCTCTGTTTAAAACTACAACCAGATTAAGTGCATTCAAATGTAAATCCACTTTTGCTTCTGTTGAGTCCTGTATATGATATGTGGCTAGAGCCAATTCAGAAGGGGAAAGAAAACTGATGGGAGGTTAAGGAAGATTCAAAATTTAGTTTCATATGATAGTCACACAGAGGAGAACCTCTCCAGCAAGATACCAGCAACTTATAAATGGCCACATGCTGCTTTGAAAGGCCATAGCAGGTTCCAAGCACTAGACGTCACTTACCAACATATTCGGAGAGGAACACGACAAAGAATGGAGTGACCAGGTCATTTATTCCCTGGACGTAGCCGCTGGCTGGGTGTCGGATGGCCCAGATGAACAGAATTCTTTCAAAGATCTAGGGAAAG